CCATCCATACTACTCTATAAATTTTAATATTTCATTTATTATATTTATATTTAATTTATAGGTGCTATATATTAAATATTAAATTTTGGGGGATTTACATACATATCACTTTATTTCGTGCTATTTATATATCTAACATATTAAACTTTAATATTACATGACTATCATACATAGAATAAATATGAGTGGATGAAATGAAATATTAAAGTTTATAGGGTGGTATGTATGATAAGAATGAAATATATGAGTGATAGTAATTTTGTATGTATTATATGTATGTAAATCTCTTAATTTTTTAATATATATAAAGAAAAAAAAAGCCTCAATTATTGAAGGAAGGGTGTTAATATATTCATTTAAAAATAAATTTAATAAATAAAAAAATCATTTTAAAATTAGCTTGGCAATGTCATGGAAGTTCAACACGTCTCCTTCACCACGCAAACTTGAAGAAAAAAAAAAAATCGACTGGAATTCGCAGGAAGACCGAGCATCTCTCTCTCTCTCTCTCTCTTCTTATGAGCCTCACAAATTGAGAAAAGGCTCCTCCTTTTTTGAATTCTCCTGCTCCTCATTTGAGCCATTTTGGGATCCATTTCGCAAGCTCGAGCTCTTTCTATAGCTTTTTTTTTTTGGAATGGATCTCTGACCGGAGGAAGAAGAAGATCACTTGTAGGAGCATTTCTGGGTATTGGGCTAATTAGAAGCGGAGGGGAGATGGAGAGTTATCTAAATGAGAACTTTGGCGGCGTGCTGCCAAAAAATTCGTCGGAGGATGCGCTGCAGAGGTGGCGGAAGGTATGCGGCGTCGTTAAGAACCCTAAGCGCCGGTTCCGATTCACAGCCAATCTTTCGAAGCGATGGGAGGCTGCGGCGATGAAGCGCTCGAATCAGGTATGATTTTGTGCTATCGCTCTAAAGTTTTGAACTTTTCGTAAGGGGGACGGAAATGCTGGAGAGAATTGGAAACATTTGCTAAAAATAATCATTGAAACCTCCATTTGAGTGGCGAGCTGTATATTGTCATCACCATGGTTAGTTTTTTCACAATTATTTTGGAAAATTCTATATGGATCCTCGTCCTCAATTAATTGTGTGTTATATGAGCTGTTAATCCTCTTCACCAAAATGCAGCACCATGCAGTAATATTTTATTATTGCAACATAGTTGTTCAGTTCCAAACTGTTTTAAGCCGATTACTGTGATGTAGCACTGCTAGGGCTTTAGGGCATCTCCAACCGAAAATCCCATTTTCACTCCAAAATGCAGTTAAGCTAAAAAAATGTTGTGATTCATCTCCAATCAAATTCTATTTTGCGTGGTAACCGTCTTTCTCATCTTTCGCGCTTTTCTTCCGCAAATCCGGTAGAGACAAAAAAAAAAAAAAAAAGCGCAGGTGAACAGTGTAACGCCAATATTGGCGTCGCATTGTTCACCCGCTACCAAATAGCGGAAGTTTTATCGTTCGGCTGGAGCTCGCGAGCGACGTCATTCATGCATTTGAAATTTGATTGGAGAAGGCCTTAGTAGAGTCAAATATTTCATGGATTGAATTTAGCTTGACCGTAGGAAAAGTTATTCATGTTTGCCTGAAGCTTGAGCTGAGCTTTCACACATGTCGTTGTACTTTTTTTTGTGGGGAAATTAGGGGCAGCGCCCAAATACACACAACACATACGCTAGATTTGAACTCAAGACCTCTAAGTTGGGAGCCAAACTCCAAACCAACAAATCAAGGAGAGTTGTGTTGACTTTGTACTTGTTTAGATTTTTATAACTGAATTTGTCTCATACTTAATTTGCCAAAATTAAGAGAACGAGTGCTTAAAAAATTTAACAAGCAACCTAAAAAGTTAAATGAATTAGAATATAATTTTAAAAGTCTAAATGAACAAACAATTTATTTAAAATGAAATTAGTATCTAACTATTTGACAACAATTAAATAAGATAATAACTGACAAATAGACTTTCTTGCAATCATACAACATTAAAGAGTACCAGCAAAATTGTTCACTGGAATAGAATATAAGCGGGATCTGCATCAAATAAATACTCAAGTTCACTAAAAATGAATTAAATAATTTGAAAAAAAAAACTAGAAATACAAAAAATAAACACAATTAATTACTTGGATAAGATGCATTCTCATAGAAACAAGCTTTTGCCAACTCCTCAAAATAGTTGCATTGTTTGATCCCATAGAAGTCAAGATGATTTATTACAACTAAGAAAGTCAACAATGAATCATATGCTTCAAAGTCATTAAAAGAGGACTCAATTGAAAGATGACCTTCTTATTCATATATAACTTGCAATTATAATGCTTGCATTGTACATGTTCAACACCAATTCTCAATTATACCATAGAAAAGTGTTTCTCCAAATTTCTTTTTTTTTCTTCCTCTAAAATTTGTTATCTTAATTATTATCATTAACAACTTGTATGACTCCTCATTCAACAATATTTATAGTCATATTTACTATAAGATCTACTTGAGTATCAATCATAGTTTGACTTAAGAAAGAGTCAACATTAGAATCTATATTTACTTGATACAATCATGAGTTAGAGGTTTGAACCATCAAAATCTTGAGAAAAGGTGTTAGACATACGGCATACCTAACATTCAATAACATTCAATTGTAAGATTTATGTTATGATATTACTATGACATTTAAACTAGATACCAAATTCATGTTAATATATATATATATATATATATATAAAGAACTAATGATATTTTCGCCAAGTGAATATAAGAGGTTGATTTTTGAATCTTGTAAAATATATTATTCTTAATGTTTTGTGAAATATTGGTTTTCTTCCTATAGCTAAAAGGCTAGAAATTTTCCTTGCAAAATATATAAAAGAACTATCTTATTATGCATTGTGAACGAAAGAAAGAGCATAATAAGATAGTTTTTTTACTTTGAATTGAGGACTAATGTTTTAGAGATAAAGATGGAGAGAAAAGCATGTAGATTAATGTATATGACATTAAATAGAAATGATAATAGGTTTGGACATCCTTCAAGCCTCTTGCCCTCTCACCTTTGATTCCCATGTTGGTGCACTCTAATTCTCACACTAGAGTTGGGAGAAGATTTATCTATAAGGCATTTCACTTGTGAGAACCATCCATTTCACTAAAGTTAAATCCCAGTCAAAAGGATGATGAGCCAACCTAAGAAAAAGATGCTAGTTGAAACTGTAGAGATCATTGTATCTAGTCTTATCCTAACTATTTGGGGTCAATTTTATGATTTATGATGCAGTACATCTTCAAACCATCACTAGAAACTTGAAAGATATGGTCATGAAGTATAGTTCATATATACTTAGGATATCATGTCATTCATGAGATCTAATTTCTCTTTATTTCTTATGTTGTTTACTTTTTGACCCTTACGGGTTATGTTCATTAAGTCCTATTGAGTTTATGATATATTTATTATACCATTATCATGTATTTGCTAGTGTATGAAGCCATTTGGATCCCCTCTCATTTAAGTCATTAAGACCTTGGAGCCTTACAAAACACCTGAAAACCCTTTCAATGCCTCTTCAAATTTCACAAAGGTATGATACCCTCTTTCCTATATATGATCAGCCACCCCTTCATGACTCGAGGGTTTCACTTGTTATCACTATATATAATCCCGCTCTTGTTATGTATGAATCTATGTTGTCAACGAATGAAGTTTAGGTATTTGGCTATTCGCTTCCACTTTATATTTTACTATCTTTGTGTCCTGACCACGTAAGAGGACTTTTTGTGTGAGAGTATACAAGCCCTTTGGGGACTTCCAAGGAAGAAAGGATGCCAATGCAATGAAGGACTGTTTGTGAAGGTCCCCTTCAATTATCCTCACTCCGCCTCTAGCTTCCACCATGGTTAGTCTAGTCTTAGATAATTAATATTTATTTAGTATTATATGGTTAAAAGTCTTAATTTGGCTAACATAATCTCTTTCATTATCACACTCATCCCAAATTAAAACAATAATTGTTGATTGAATCCATTATATAACTTTTCTAATAAATTTAAGTGAAATCTTTGGTTCTCTATGCAAAAGTTCTCATCTATCCTACAACATATTTCCATTACATATTGGTTAGGCTTTTTTCATTTTACATTTTGTATTAGAGCAAAATTCCTTGAGAAGTTCTAAATGTATTAAACTACATTTGCAAATTAGATTATGCTATTAGGTTCATTTCTATTAACTTAGCATCTCATTATTAGAACCAAGTAAAAAGTCTAAATCACCACTTCATTTGTTTACTCACTCATCTAATTATGTTTTCAATTTTATTAAATTTTAATATCAATCAATAGACAAATATTTGTTTGCTTCAAATTTTTGTATTTTATATCTTCTATGACATATATCAGTATTTTTGTTTTATCTTTATTGTTTTGACCCAAATTTAGTAGTCAATTTTGATTAGTTCAATGAGCTCCTCTACTTTTCTATTGACCAAATTTTTTTTGATTTATCTAGGCCTTCAAAAATACTAAAGCTTGAGAGCATTTAAAAATTTTCTGATTAAAATGTAATTGTCTTGACTACTTGAAATAGATATTCATATCAAGCTAAAAAATCATAAAGATGAAGATGAAATCACTCATTTATGAGGATCTCACCCTCTTACTCCAACAAACCTCTCATGAGTTGAATGCTAGGTTTGAAAATAAAGAGAATCAAATAGGTGGAAATCATGAACCTAACTTTGCATCTAAACACCCATCTAAAGAAGGTGAAGGTAATCTTGTTGATCCTAAACCTTCTATTCTTCCTAGCCCCATAGCCATCGTGTTGATCCATTCCCTATGGATTGCTATCATGGTGTTGTGGATGTTTTACGACATTCCTATGAACTTTAACATTATGAGGAGCCACCATTTGGAGTGGATCATTCCTGTGCCATCTAGAGGCATGAAATCAAGACTACAATAAGGACATCGCTTGGAGAGTTAAGAACCTAACGCTCGAGGTGGGTTAAGAATGTTATCAAGTCGAGTCAAACTCAAGTTGACCCTGACTCAAGCTTGAGCTCGATAATCAAGCTCGAGCTTATCTCAATTAAACCCAATTTAAACTTGAGTTTGACTCGATAACTCGAGATTGATTAATAACTCAACTCGGTTAGTCTTTAATGGTATGACTTAAGTAGATGAATGCATAAACTTCTTGAAAGAAGATAAACTAGAATTTTAATGTCTTTTCCCCAAAATATTTGTAAGGAGATAGTTGAATGATTTATTAAGTCAAGTTGAGCTGGAACTCGAACTCATACATCATGCAAGCTTTAATATATGTTTGAACTCAAGCTTGTGGCTTGTAAAATCAGTTCATGGGTTGACTCGACTCAAATACATTCCAACAGTGTGCCACTATGACGAGGCCATGATGTCAATGAAGCATTGAATGGGATTCTCCTTGTGGTTGGTTATTCATTATGTCTTGACTACTCATTCAGACAAAAGTAGGGAACACAATGCCCTATTTCTAGAATGTCAATTTGATTTGGCAAGTCGGGTTTGGGTATGATATAAAGTTGACCAGTCTTGAATATGCTTGATTCAAACTCTACTTGTTTATTATATGAATCAAAATGTATGACCCAATCTTAACTTGGTCTAGACCCACATTACCCGAACTCAACTAGTTTAACCCATTTACTATATGGTCATTGTATTTTTTAGGATCATATTGATGTTTAAAAAAATGAAATCTAGAATCGAGGCATTTTGCCTTAATAAGTCAAGGTGAATCCTTAAGGTATTTGCCTCAAACAAAATAATATACAAAATTATAAATAACTCATAAAAATGACAAAATATGCAATAAAATATTAATATAATTACTTGTTTCAAAGTAAATGTTATTATAATATATAAGTTTGAAACTATATTCAAATTAAATACTCACTTAAAACTTATACGCCATGAGGATCGTTATCCACGACAACCTCATTCTCACTTTGATGTTCTTAAAAAAATTCTTGTATGTTGTATTTTTATCATCCTTGGAGGCTTTCACACCCCATCCCAATCCTTCTCGCTCACATCGAAGAAATCAAGAGTCGCACCCTATCCTTGTCCTGCTCACTCTAGGATCTGTTGTTTGCTAGTCGCATGGTTGTGTGGGTGGGATATTGGTATAATAAGTTATTTAATATAACCCTAAAAATATTCAATAACTCTTTGAGTGAGGTGCCGCCGTGCCGCTTCAACGAGCATTATGCTTCAAGGTGTACGCATTATATAAGAAAGACACAAGCTATAATGGAACTAGTGTGGCTTAATAGTTGTAAAAGATCAAACATCGCACATACAATGGGAGTTGTTAGTATACAACAACAACAACATCAAGCCTTTGTCCCACTGCGTGTGGTCGGCTACATGAATCATTTTTCTCCATTGTGTTCTATTAAAAGTCAAATTCTCGTTTAAATCTAATGGGAGTTGTTAGTATATATATGTTAAATCCATGAAAGAAATATTGGGAGGACGTAAAGTGGATCCTATATCTGAAAGGCACAATTATTCAATCATTTTAATTTAAAAGAGTTAACTTAAAACTATAGAAATATGTTGATGTGAATTTAGGAGGAAATTTGATTCATGAAAAAAATACTATTGGGTATATCTACTCCTCATGTGGTATTAGTATTAGTTTAGAATCCTAGTTAATGAAGATAGTTGCATTATCAACAGCTGAAGTTAAATATGTAGCTATCACCTTAGATGCTTTGATTAAAAAGTTTTGTAGAGGAACTCAACCAATTATAAGCTGATATTTCTCCACTTTGTGATAGTCAATGTTCCTTTAACATGCCAAAAAATGATGCCTTCCATGTCTGAAAAAGCATGTTAAACTTAAGTACTACTTTGTACACATCTTGCTCGAAGAATAAGTTTTATTGCTTACTAAAATCAAAGGAACAAAAACTTTTGTCGATATGCTAATGAAAATAGTACGCACTAAAATGTGGAGGTTTATCAAAGCCTAAGCTGACCTCTATGAATGATGATGCAGATGTGCCATGTAAAGAGGTGTTAAGTTATGGAAATAATTTTTTTTAGCTAGATCATACAAGTTTTCTACCTAGCTTCCTCAATCTATATAATGGTACCTACCATCATCTGCTTTATACATTCAAACTTACTACCTACCACCTCTAAGCTCTATATATGAAGATTCATCTATTATATTGAAACATCTATAGCCACAAGTAAATAGGAAGAAGAGGAGAGAAAGGGAAGTATAACTTAAGCATACAACCTTAGTAAAGAGAAGCTCTTGCAGTTGAAAAGAGAAGGGAGAAAGAAGCTATTGTAGCCGAGAAGAGAAGATGGTAACAGCATTAGTATGAACATCTTCATCTCCACCTTTGGCCCCCATTTTTATGTTAGGTGGCTTGGATACTACATAGTTATTGTCACAGAAAAAGTTGTATCTCTATATCTTTTATTATATGAATGAAAATAAATCTTTGATGCACTCTTCTTTTAATCCTTAGTGGAATATTTTATCTATATGAAACTATAGACGTAAGTGAATATCACTGAAACATGTAAACTTATTTCTTGTGATTTTGATCTTTGATGTGTTCATTCTTCATCATCATTTAATTTATTCAATATTTTATCCTAACATTTACAACATCTCAAATTGCTCTTCGTTGCACTACAAGATCACAAATTATGCATTAATCTACCAAAATGTGAATTTTCTATCAAAAAAGTACATTTCTTGGGTTGCTTCACTGACATCAAAGGCATACGCGCCGATCCAAAGAAGGTTGATGCCATTAGATCCTGGTTGAATACCACTTCCATGACAGCTGCTCACAAATTTCATGGGATTGCAAATTTTTATGGTTATTTTGTTCAAAACTTTAGTCACATCATAGCTCTAATTACCGATTGCTTGAAGCACAAACAATTCTGATGAAAAAAATGATGCCATTAATGAGCATCTTTGCTCCACCCCAATTTTGGCCATTATATTTTGATAAACCCTTCTAGGTTGAGGCAGCTGCATCAACTATTAGCATCGACACAGTACCACCCAAGATTAAAAATTAATGAAATTTTCAATGAGACACTTAGTAGCACACGACAAAAATGGTCCACTATGAACAAGAGCTATATACATTAATAAGGAACTCAAGCTGTTGAAACGTTATTTTCTTTACTAAGAATTTGCATTTTTTATTGACCATCAACTCTCTTGTTCCAGAATTCTTGGAAGAAACTCAATTGAATGCTTATGTCAGGTCCTTTTCTTCAAAGATTCAGTTCCATTGTCAAGCAAAAAGGAATAATTAATAAGCATGAGAAAATTATCAAAATAGTCCCTTGACTTTTTATGAAAGACCCCTAACTATATTCAATATTGCAGATATCTATGCTTATGACTCATCCGATGTTCGTGTTCATGCTTCAAAGGCACACAGCTCATCCATAATATCTTGCCCATTTCCAATATTATGATTTTCTTTTTGTTTACTTCTTATTAGTTTATTGAAGTTTAATTATTTTAAGTATTGTTGATTGGTTTATCTTCTCCCCTGCTTGTGGTTTTTTACACCAAAATATCCATAAAGATAAGCTTTGGCAATTGGCATTCCTTGCTGGTGCTAGGAGTGTGACATTTTATTGTAAGACTTCAACTTAATGCGATATTGCGCATCGTTAAGGATGAGGCTAATTAAAATTAAATCTAATTTCTCTAATGTGGCCTTATGCGTAAATTAAAATATAAAATAAGTCAAATAATAGATAAAAATCATTTGCTTGAGAAGTATATGTAGTTTGATTTCTTTCTTGATCATTACACACTTAGGAAAAAAATGATGAATTTTTGTCTTTCTAGTCAATAACAGATGCCAAGCTGAGTTGTAATAACTTCATTTAGCTAATTATTTACTTCACATTATATTTGTCTTATACACAATTCTTACCAAACCCCCCTTCCATCTGTTTCACTATCTGTTTGATTTGGCTTCATAATGATTATAAATTCTTGCGGCGATGGATAAATTTCTATATGTCCAATTCTGCCAAATAAATATTTGAAGTTGATCTTTCCATTTAGTCTTTGAAGCATGAACACGAACACACAATAACATGGCATGGACATGACATTACTACAAAAAGTAGGTAACACCATGCTATGGACACAATGCTATATTTTATAAATTATTAATATAAAAATATTAATTCTACTATTTTTTTATTAAAAGAATCACGAAATAAAGAATAACTCCGTACAATCAAAGTGATAAATCAGTTGCACTTCCATAAACTAAAATAAAATAAGTAAAACTACTTCAACAACATTTTATTCACTACCTTGCTACTACAAGAAGTCTATGAGAGTTGCAATGGCTAAACATGGGGGAAGTTGAAAAGAGTTGCTAGGCAAAGATGCCTGTCTAGGGCATGGAATTGTTTGGTCTTGGAAGAAGCAACGAAAATGGGGGAGGATAGGACAGGGCATGATGCTTTAGAAATATGGGAGTTATTTATGTCTGCACAGTTTTATTTCCTGCTTTTTTATGTGTTATGCATGTCCTGCCGCATCCAGGAAGTTTCGGAATTCAATTTTGCACTTAATAAAATTTACACAATTTTGAAAGTGTCGGATTCATGTTGGTGTTTTTTGCATGTCCAAGTTCAACATATATTTGATATGGGCATAAAAGACATTTAGAAGTGTCGGAGCATAAAAGACATTTAGAAGTGTCGGAGCATCAAAGCTTTTAGCTAGCTGTGTTACCAAAATCCATTCCTACTCATTGGTACCATACAGAAGATTTATATCAATATTTTAACCTTTTAACGTGCCATGTCACCTTGGGCCTAGTGCATCTGGGTGACATGGTGCGTCCGGATTCGTCTCTGGACAGTCCGGACACTGTACGTAATAATCTCTCCTTTTAAAGTGCCCTGCAACTGATACTGATTTCTTCTTGTGTTTTACAGGAGAAACTGCGAGTGGCTGTATTAGTTTCAAAAGCTGCACTTCATTTTATACATGGTGACCTCCAACTTCATCCACATTAATTGCTTCTTTTTGCTCCTGGTATTGGTTTTTTGAATATCTTATGGACATGAACATTCTTGAATGTTTTAGGCCTCACATTATCGAGTGACTACACTGTGCCTGATGATGTCAAAGCAGCAGGTTTTCAGATTTGTGCTGATGAATTGGGTTCCATAGTTGAAGGCCATGCCATCAAGAAGTTAAAAATGCATGGTGGGGTGGATGGTCTAGCAAATAAACTGTCAACATCCGCAACTAACGGCCTTACCACTTCTGAGGAAAGATTGAAGATCAGGCAAGAGATTTATGGAATAAATAAGTTTACTGAAAGTGAAGCAAGGAGTTTTTTTGTATACGTTTGGGAAGCACTTCAAGACATGACACTTATGATTCTTGGCGCCTGTGCCTTTGTTTCTCTGATTGTTGGTATTCTTACAGAAGGATGGCCAAAAGGTGCGCATGATGGCCTTGGAATTGTTGCAAGTATCTTGTTAGTTGTCTTTGTTACTGCTACAAGTGATTACAGGCAATCTTTACAGTTCAAGGACTTGGATAAGGAGAAAAAGAAAATAACCATACAAGTCACACGAAATGGATTTCGACAGAAAATGTCAATCTATGACCTTCTTCCTGGTGATATCGTCCATTTAGCAATAGGAGATCAAGTCCCTGCAGATGGGCTTTTCCTTTCTGGTTTTTCATTATTAATTGATGAGTCAAGTTTAACAGGGGAGAGTGAACCTGCTGCCGTAACTGCAGAAAATCCTTTTCTCCTGTCAGGAACTAAGGTTCAGGATGGATCATGTAAAATGTTGGTAACAACTGTTGGCATGAGAACTCAATGGGGTAAGTTGATGGCCACACTTAGTGAAGGAGGAGACGATGAAACTCCTTTACAGGTTAAGCTGAATGGAGTTGCCTCAATCATTGGGAAGATTGGTTTATTCTTTGCAGTTGTGACTTTTGCAGTGATGGCACAATCCCTTATCTGGCATAAGTATAATGCTGGGACATTACTCAGCTGGACTGGTGATGATGCATTGCAGTTGTTAGAATATTTTGCCATTGCAGTTACCATTGTAGTTGTTGCAGTTCCAGAAGGACTTCCCCTAGCTGTGACCTTGAGTCTTGCCTTTGCCATGAAGAAAATGATGAATGATAAAGCATTGGTCCGCCATCTTGCAGCCTGCGAAACTATGGGCTCGGCTACGACGATCTGCAGTGACAAGACAGGAACCTTGACAACCAATCACATGACTGTGGTGAAAGCTTGCATCTGTGGAAATATCAGTGAATTATCTAATCCAAGTGATGCTTCTAGTATCTTCTCTCAGCTTCCACAAAAGGTGTCTAATATCCTTATGCAGTCCATATTTAATAATACTGGAGGAGAAATCGTAACCAACCAACAAAGAAAGATAGAAATACTAGGAACACCAACTGAGACTGCTATATTGGAATTTGGCTTATCTCTAGGCGGTGATTTTATAGCAGAGCGTGAAGCAGTTAAGCTTATTAAAGTTGAACCTTTCAATTCAGCGAAAAAGAGAATGGGAGTAGTGATTCAACTTCCTCAAGGGGGATACAGAGCCCACTGTAAAGGTGCCTCTGAAATAGTTCTGGCTTCATGTGACAAGGTTTTAGATGCTGCAGGTAATGTTGTTCCCCTTGATGATGCAACAGCCAATCATCTCAGGGATACAATTGAAAGTTTTGCTAAAGAAGCTCTGAGGACACTTTGCCTAGCCTATATGGAGGTTGAAGATGATTTCTCAGCTAATCAACAAATCCCTTCTGATGGGTACACATGTATTGGAATTGTAGGCATTAAGGATCCTGTCAGACCCGGTGTCAAGGAGTCGGTGGCTGTTTGTCGATCCGCTGGAATTGCAGTGAGAATGGTTACCGGAGATAACATTAATACAGCAAAGGCTATTGCCCGAGAATGTGGTATTCTTACAGATGATGGCATAGCTATAGAGGGTCCAGAGTTTAGGGAAAAAAGTCTAGAACAAATGATGGAATTAATTCCAAGGATACAGGTCTCCTAGCTTTTAGATATTGTTTTACTGTTGCAATTGTGCATATAACTGGTTAGCGATTCTGAGCTGAATCTCTCTATTTAATAGGTGATGGCTAGATCTTCACCACTGGACAAACATACACTTGTGAGGCACCTGCGTACTTTGTTCAGTGAGGTCGTTGCTGTGACTGGTGATGGCACAAATGATGCTCCAGCGCTTCATGAGGCAGATATTGGACTTGCAATGGGAATTGCAGGAACTGAGGTGATGTTTCTTAGTTCTTGCGTATGGCACTTTTTTTCCATTGAAAATTATTAACTTGAAAGTTTTAGGGGTTTTAATTCACCTCAGTTCTACATACTCAGTGTTGAGATTAGTTGATAAATTGTCGTATATACTATTTAGCTTTGATTTGTATCTGCACACTTCTTTAATCTATCACTTAATTGTAATATATGAAGCAAGAGGACAGGGGTATGGTTATTGGATTAGTATGGGCATCATTTTGTTTTTCATTTTCGTGGTTATCATTTTTTATGTTTTATTAGTTTACTTTTTTAGCTTTTATACATGTATGCATCATTGCACATCATTATTTTAGATGACTTTGACTTTATTAGGGATTATTTGTTCTTGGAAAGACAATTTGGTTGGGACTGGTGGTGGATGACTTGGACTTTAATAGGGATTATTTGTTCTTGGAAAGGCAATTTGGTTGGGACTTGGGACTTGTGGTGGAAGGAATTTATTGCATTTTTGGTAACTAGGGAGATTGGAGTTATGTTAGAGTATCATGCTTTTTTATGTCTCATTGAAAATTTTAAATTTTGAAGAATCTTGAATGTAGGCCTCAATATGTTGTTCATTTCTTGGAGTGAGTTCAACAAAGCATCAACATTAGGAGCAACTCAACATTTCACTACACGTCTGTGTAGGAGGCTAATAAGGTATTTGAAACTTTAGTAGGGTGAAGGAGCCTTAGTTTTAACAGTGGAAAATGATATTTGGTAAGACCTAAGTCGATGACATGAAAGTACATGCAAAGCGTCCTTAATGTGAATTTTCAATGATATGTTCAAGTTTAAGTGATGGAAGCAAAGTTGAAATTTAGAGTTGTTGTTGCAACTGTTAGAGAAAATTTCTAATCAAGCATGGATAGAATACTCCAAGATTTCAGTTTACTTGTCCAGTTATAGTTATTATTACTATTTATGCTTAATAATAAGACTCATGTAAGTCACCATTCCCTAGGCTTACGTAGAAGATTGGTTTTTATTTCATAGTGGGAACTTGAAGTCCTCAAACCCCTGCTCTATGAAATGCTTCAATTGGGAGTTCCTCATGAGAAAGAATTTTTGTTTTTATTGCATCCTTCTGTTATAATTTTGGTTATGCGTTTTTTTAGCCCATTGGTGGCAGTAGCACAGCCATTAAAAGGCTGTTGTCCATTTATAAAATTGGTGGCAGTAGCTCAATAGTTTTTTCCTTATTTCTGCAAACCTTATCAACAAGCTCTAGTAGGTGTGCTCTGGGATCCTCATTTTCAAACAACGACAACAACAATATCAAGCCCTTGTCCCACTATATGGGGTCGGCTATATGAATCTTTTTTCTCCGTTGTGTCACGTTAAAAGTCAAATTCTCATTTAAATCTAATAAATAAAGATCATTTTCAACTAGAAGAAAAATAATGATTGATTATTAATCCTTGTTGGAGTTGCAAGTCAATAATAAAGTAGCAGCAAATATTTTATTTTTAGATATTTAGCCAACTTTGACTAATTTAAATAATTTTTTACTAAATTTTTCATGTATCTACGGCAGGTAGCAAAGGAGAGTGCAGATGTAATTATTCTTGATGATAATTTCTCGACAATTGTGACAGTTGGCAAATGGGGACGTTCTGTTTACATAAACATTCAAAAGTTTGTACAGTTTCAGCTGACAGTGAATGTGGTTGCTTTAATTGTTAACTTCTCCTCTGCTTGCCTTACTGGTAAACAATTTTAAGATTTTCTATTTACCAAATCCTTCCTTGCCACAAATATCCTTCACTAGCTTTAAAAAAAAAAATTGAATCTCATGTCAGGAACTGCTCCACTGACTGCTGTGCAGTTGCTGTGGGTGAACATGATCATGGATACATTGGGAGCTCTTGCACTTGCCACTGAACCTCCCAATGACGAGTTAATGAAAAGGATGCCCGTTGGCAGGAAAGGGAATTTCATCAGCAATGTGATGTGGAGAAATATCTTCGGACAATCTTTTTATCAGTTTTTTATAATATGGTATCTCCAGACGGGAGGGAAACAACTCTTCAGGCTCGAAGGCGCTGGTTCTGAAGTCACCTTGAATACGCTTATCTTCAATACGTTTGTGTTCTGCCAGGTAAGTTCCACTGATGCTTTTCTTGCTAGGTCTTTTTTTCTTCTTTAAATAAAGAGCAAACTGGAGATAGTTCTCTCATGTTTTGCTTAGGTTTGGATAGATTTTTTTTGGTCTAAAACGGCCAACTAGGTCCTTGCAAAGCAACTAGCATTTTCATTGAGTGTTGTGCTAAAACTCATCTTTTTTTTTTCAAATCTAGACAAAATAAGATCCCTTCATTTTAAGAAAGGAAAAAAGCTCAAAATAGTTGAGAAACTAAGGCTTCGTTTGGGACGACTTTCTTTATGCTTCTTAAAACATCTTTCTAGTACAAAATTAAAATTTTTTATGCTAGAAAGCTGATTTAAGAAGCAGAAAGAAAGCCGTCCCAAAGAAAGCCTAAATTGGGTCATATTTCCCTAATTTAATTCCTTGATTTTATAAAATTGATCCCAAATATTCCCTTAGGACTAAATTGGTATCACTTATGTGTAGTCAGGAAATTAAATTCTGATCAATTTTTTATGCTAATTTCCTTCGATTTCTACCTAAGAGACTATTTTGGACTAATTTTATATGGCTGAGGGGCTAAATTTGAGAAATTTTATTATGTGTAAGATTCAATTTCAATTGCTTTTTATTATTAATTATTGTAAAAATATATATTTAAGGTGTAAATAAAAATAATTACTAAATTAGAATTTAAGTGATCACATAGAAAATTTAGTATGATCTTAAGAAAAAAATTTCAATAAAATTATGATGACTATTTAACACCTTATGAGATTTTATTAAAAATTGCAGAATTTGAGAAAATATTTTCTTTATTTTGTTTTAAAAAATTTATTGAAAAATATGAGTTTCTACCAAAAATATCAATAGGTTGACAACATAAATTTTGTCGAAAGGTATGCTCATTGTGTAATAATTTTTTTATAATTCTTATTATGTTAATGTGATTTGTAAAAGAAGCGTAAAAAGTATTATGAATACTTAAAGTGAATAATTAAATAAAAAAAAGACTAAAAACTTGAAATAGTTCCTCAACTATTGATAAATGCTCAAATTAGTCTCAAGAGTTTTTTATTGCCTTAATTTTGCCCCTTAACTGTTTAAAACTGTCCAATTTGGTCGTTAGGTCAAATTTGTCGTTTAAATTAATGGTAAAAGCTAGAGAGCTTCGCTTCTTTCTAGGCATTTAAGCAAAATTACCTGTTACATGCTCGCTCGCCTTTCCTCTATAAGCCCTGGAGACCGAATTGTGCGAGGGAGAAGCTGCGAACAAGGCGATGTTAGTGAGTCAGGGCGACATGAGCGAGTAGGCCGCAAACAAGATGCGCTGCAACGTGCTTCAATTCTCATTCCAGATTCATGTGCGGCTACGAGACAGACGATGCACCTCTAGCGAGACACCCTACACTCTGCGGGGCTGTTTGGATACAGTAAGAAAGATGGCTACCTTCACAACGAGCAAGCTCCCGTCGTTACTTCTGATCCTACAAAAGAACAACGAGGAGATGTTACTTTGGATCCAACAAGAAGGAATGTCGTCGAAGGAGGTGAAGAAGTTATTTTAGTGACTCGTTCAAAATTCTACCCCTCATGCAAGCAGACAAAGTCGAAGACCAACGAACAGCTGGAGAAGAGGAAATGATATTCAAGTGAAATGTATCGTTCTAAAACTTCAAGTAAATTCATCTACACTTTTTAACCGTTTATCAAGGGCGATAACTTTAGGAATAATATCAGCTCACAAAAAGTCAATATCTTGTCATGTGTATCACTATATTCACTCTCAAATGATCTCTTGCTAATAAGGATGTCATGTGTTCTTTAATTGATATTTTGTCATTAAATGACACGACATATACATGATTATAATTAAGGCTTTATGATTGAGTGATTTAGTTATAAAATGCCACCATTAAATTATAGTCATGATGAAAGCCTATAAATTACCCAATTATTTAAAAACCCTTGAGCTGTAAATCATATGATATACTCGATAGTGCACAAAATCCTCTGTTAGTAAATGTTGACTTAAATTTGTCATCTTAGATAAGCATCCACCCACAACCGGCAATATTATGTTGGAGGTTTGAAAGAAGCAATCCATAGTTGTTTACAATGATTTTCTGTCAGAATGAGTTGACTACCTTCTTTAATTAACTAGATCATGGTTCATGATTATCCCGTACAACATAATCTTTGGATCTTTATCGTCTTCTTCATCATTCTCCCACCATCCATTTTAAATTTAAGATAATAAATTTTTAAATCTGAAATCAAATTGCTACTTATATGCTAATCATTTAACTTCCAATGACTAGCCTTAATCAAAAGTTTTCTCTTGTCACTAAGATGAGTAATTAACTATAGGAGCTTGAGTCTATAGGAAACCTAGAATTAGAAAAATGAGAGTGAAATATATGGATAGTGGATAATGCCTTATATGTAATCAAATCTATCTTTTAAAAATATCGCCCATGGCCATAACTATAAAATTCTTTAAAAGGAGCATAACGCAAATTTTTTAAGCCGACATGAAGATTTGAAGGGGAAGATTCAATGTTTCCAAAATCTACACTTACACATACTCATGAGGTCCGAAGTTTTTTATATGGCGCTCAGGTCTTTCAAAGTCAATCTATTAGGGGAGTGGTGCTGCAGGTGTACTTGGGAGAAATGTTTTTACTTGGGAAATGAACTAAAGAATAAAAACTAAAAATTAATACACATAAACTGCATTCCTAACGAACACCTATTTTCAGATTGCATCAGTATCCTTATATCCTACGACTATCAAAACAATCAGCATTCTCGAAGAACTTATATTCTGCTAACTATCTAGCTCCATTTTGACTATTTTCCATGCAACTTAGCATTAGAATTTTTAGCTTGCTTGATAAATTTCCAATACGAAAAAGAGCATCCTTGATTATGCTTGGCTCGATAAGAGATTGTTACTTACAAATTCGAATATATACTATTAAAATCCATAAGAAAAACATCTAAGTTTCATAGATAGAATATATGTTAAGTTTCATGACTTTTTAATGGCTGTTGACATCTATACTAATTCCACGATTGGAGCGAGCAAGGGAGCCTAGTTTGATTAAGATGCATATATGCATATAATGTGCTAAAAGCACTTCAATGTCTACAAAAAATCTGGAGAAAGCCCTGAAATTAGCTTCCCAGGATTTTGTTTCAAACAAAGTGCAAGAGCTGCCAAGTTAAGTCAACAAGGCCCACAAAAAGTAAACTCTTATTTCCTCTTATGGTTTTCACTCACTTTCATATCTATTACTATTTTGGTGTTGTTAGGGCAACTCCAATGGAACGGAAAACACTTGTTTGCCGTTCTTGCTTTGCTCCAACCGACCGCCATTTGATCGCGGATGAACAGTGCGACGCCAATATTGGCGTGGCTCTGTTCATATGCGCCATTCTTTTATCTCTGCCAAATTTTGGGAAAAAGGCGCGAATGAAGAGAACGACAATTTACGGGGTAAAATGACGTTCCATTGGAGATAAATCACGTCTTTTTTTAGTTTCAGTGCATTTTGGAGTGAAAAATGAGATTTTCGGTTGGAGATGCCCTTAGTCCATGACTTACGGGATCATACACAACCCTACTACGTCTGCCGATGGAGATGAAGCTGATCACGCCAAGCTTGCATGTTTTTCTTTATCACTATTCAGTCTAGAGGTTTTCTAGTCTAGCTGTCAAGCACATCACTTATGTTTATCTTTCATGTTTAGGAGGCACAGGACAGTCTTAAGGCATGCTACATCATACCTAACTTTGGCTTTATTTGGGAATGCTTTCTTGCTGTTTTTTAAAACAGCTTTTTTGTTAAAAAATTAAAAATTTCGTACTAAAAAGTTGCTTCAAGAAGCAATAAGAAAGTTGTCCCAAACAAAAACTTATGAACAACATGGTTATTAAAAAGTGCTTTTATGAACAGTAGAATCAAGTTTATTTCGTGAAAAACAAAAAATCACGATTCATCCTAATATGGACAGGGTTGGAGTGGCTTATTTGCTTTACTATCGTTAAATTTGAGTCTATCTACAATTTGCGCTCAACAATGTAAGTTGTTAGAAGATAGATCATAGATTTCCATTCAGTACAATCTTATTACTTGCTACATAAGTAATCAAGATTGCTATTTATGAGCTCCATGGTGTTCATGAATAGCAAAGAAATAATGGATGCCAGCTAGTTATGTTGGTAAAGGCCTTTAGAAGTAGTTGTCAAAAGCCTTGATTCAATTCTCCATTGCATCAGGAAATCTCCATATTTTCGGTAGACAAAAATAAAAGCTTAACAAAGAAAGGTTGCAAAGTATTTTTAATTGGAAGACCCAAACCCCACTAAGTTTTTTAACATGCTAAATTTTGGTGAAGCCTCTCATTCTTTTCCTTGTTATGTTCTCTGTTTTGGCATCATTACAATCAAGGGAAAAAGAATAAGTGCAGCCAATTGTCTGATTATTCCTAGGCTTCGCTTGGGATTGTTTTCTTACTGCTTTCTACAACGGCTTTCTAATACAAAAATTTATAATTCAAAAAATTTTGTACTAAAAAGTTGCTTTAGAAAGCAATAAAAGAATTGTCTCAAACGAAACCTTAATAAATCTTTTTGCGTAGCTTATCCAACTAAGCTCTAATTTACGAGAAATTATTTTGTGCGAACGCCGAATGCTGTCCATAGACCAACCAGAATGCGTCACCCTACTCTTTACCCGGCTCAGTACTGCTCGGTACCGCGGCTCGATACTGCTGATGTGGTACATTCTGGTTGGTCTCCGGACGGTAAACTGTGTTCAGCGCCCGCACAGAATAATTTCTCCTAATTTACAACTCATAAATTTGGCAAACACCTCTTTCCCTGACATTCCACATTCTTTTACAGTTGTTCAATGAAATAAGCTCGAGAGAGATGGAGAAGGTCGATGTCTTCAAGGGCATTCTCGACAACTATGTCTTTGTTGGTGTCCTATCCACCACCGTCATCCTCCAAATCATCATCGTCCAATTTCTTGGGGATTTTGCTAATACCACACCATTGACATTCTCACAATGGTTCTTTACTGTATTCATTGGGTTCCTCAGCATGCCCATTGCTGCAGCTATCAAGAAGATTCCTGTTGGGTCAAAATAAGAGAATTTGAGGCAAAAATGGTGCTATAAATGCCAACTTTCAAACATTTGAAAGCCTAAATTTAAAAGATCTGGCTCCATGTTCTTTTTAGTTGCAGCATGGAAAGGAAAGCAATCTCTGCTGTGTTTTTAGTAGCTTTTATGGCCTTTTAACCATTTGAACTTAACAGTACTGCTGAAGGGATCTGAGAACAGCTGCAGAGATGCTGTAAAATGTCTTTAGTTATTTGTTTGAAAGTCTCTGATATTTTCCTTCGAACCACATTCTATTACTTTTCTGCAGTGGATTTCTGTATTTGTATTATTTAGGCTTGGAAATGTGTTAATTTATTACATTTGACTTAGTGATTGTTTCTTATCTAAATATAATGGAGCTTTGAATATAAATTGGTGTAAACTTTATCCTTTGATTGTTTGTATGTGATCAATATAGGCTTCGTTTTTTATGTGATCAATATAGGCTTTGTTTGTATGTATTATTTAGGCTTAGAAAGCTTAACATGTTCAAAGAAATGCATTCTCCGACTTTACTTGAGCCTCTCTACCATCAAAGAGTACTTTGGCAAGGACAGGAATCTCGTACTGATATAGCCTCTCCCATTCAGCGTTCTAAGAAATATCCCTTACCTGGAGCTGGACGGAGTGGAGAGAGTGCGACCAACCCAAGGAGAGCACGGCTTAAAACTTTTTTTTTTTAAGGCCTTCACAGAGACATCGGCACCGGAAAAACCGGCAAAGGCGACGCAGGGAGGCCGTTGGGCCGGCCTGCAACGGATGAGGTTAATAGCAAATGCCATCGACTGGAGGGATGCCGTCACTCTTAAAGCCACCATAATTTGGGAGTTAGGGGTTGAAGAGTTGAATCATTTTTTCACTTCAGAATTAAAAGAGAAGCCAGAAGGACAGGGAAGAAGAAATGCTAGGGTATACTTGAAGACTTATGTCCGCCTAAAGGATAAGAAGAGTCGAAGAGGAGAAGTTGAAAGGAAGAACTATTTTGGTATGAAATATGCGAAGGGGTCGGGAGGAGAATCCGAGAGGAGGAGAAGTTAATGTTAGTTTAGATGAATAGAAGCCCAATATTGAAAATCGATGAGAAGCCCGAATGTCATCGAAGTCGAAAGGTTCACTGAGTGAAAAAACGTTTAAGAAGTTGAAAGCACTGAAATAAACTTGCAAGTAAATGCCGAGAAGTACAAACATTGAAGAAGTTTAGGAGATGTAAATATTTGGAGAGAGAAACCTATCAGAGGAGAAGACGGTGAGAGGAGGCACCTAGGTAAGCCGAAGAGATGGAAGAAGGAAGAGGCGAAGGAGATATTGATATGGTAGATTTAGATCAAATATTATTAATAAGATGAATTAAATAAGTGAAATGGATGAGAAATTAAAACACCAAAAAGATTTAGAATTAATTTATAAGCATTTAATTCTATAAGTATTATTTTTTGATTTATTAATTATTTATAATATATGGATGGTCAAGATAATTTAAAAAAAAATTAAATGGATGGTCAAAATTTGCTAGGGGTGGAAACTCAAGCGCTTTTTATAATAGTAGTATAGATTTTTCAGGGTCATTAATTATCAGAATGCATAAGAGTTTCTGAGTTTGTATCCATTGTCTAGTTAGTTTACTTACATTGTATAAGTAGTAAATGAAGATCAGAGGAAGGAAGTTGATCTGACGGCCGGTAGCTCGTTAGGACTGTTATCGGCTGGCAGATGAAAATGATTTTAAACTTGATGTCTTATTTTATGGTTTAATTTTTTATTGATTACTGATATTAACTCTTTAGGCTTAATGTGCTAAAATAAATTTTTAACATTTAAAATAATGTCTGTTCAGACAGTGGACATGTTAATAATATATTTTATAGCAGTCTTATTTACACTTTAATGCACTTTAAAAGTGCACTAAATGCATTTTAAGTGCATTTTTAAAAATACACTAAGTGCATTTAAAAAGCGCACTAAGTGCATTTTTAAAGTGCATTAAAGTGCACTAAGTGCATTTAAAAAATGCACTAAGTGATTTTAAAAAGTGTACTAAGTGCATTTTTAAAGCGCATTAAAATGCGCTAAGTGCATTTAAAAAATGTATTAAGTGCATTTTTAAAAGTGCATTAAGTGCATTTTTAAAAGTGTACTAAGTGCATTTAAAAATTGCACTAAGTGCATTTTTAAAGTGCATTTAAAAAGTGTACCAAGTGCATTTAATTTTTAAATGCTCTAAGTGCACTTTTAATGTGCAAGTAAGGCAACCAGAAAATATATTATCTTAAGATTTGTTAAATAATCCAAATGATTATCTAAAAAGAGGGCATGTTAATCAAGTGTAAGCTTTCAAATAAAAAAATATATTAAGCATCCATACAAATTAATTAATAAATAAAATAAAAGATTTTTTACTTTATCATCTAACATTTATATTCTTCTTGAACTTTATGCTTCTTGTTCCTTAATTTTAACTCATTCTTAATATCCTCCATTAAAATTTATATAAAATATAAAAATATCAAAATCTGTTAAATTTCTTGCAATGTAATGACATTTAAGAAAATGATAGAAGAAATAATATTATGTAATTCAATTTTAAGATTATTAACATGTCCACTACCTGCATCAGACATTATTTTAGATATTAAAATTTTTTTAGCACATTTAGTCTAAAGAGTTAATATCAGTAATGAATAAAAAATTTAAACTATAAAATAAGATATTAAGTTTAAAATCATTTTTATCTGCCAGCCGACAACAGTCCTAATGAGTTACTGGCCGTCAGATCAAGTTTACCCAACTCTTTTCTTGAAGAAGCGCAATAATGGATCCGACATTGGTGTATATTGCCCGACACATTTTTCAAAAGATAGATACCATGCGAGTGAGATGAATAATCTTGAAACCACCATAATCACATAATATATTTAGAAAGATGATGTCATTAACTTGATACCAATCGAAGATGATGCAAATCAACATCATATTTTTTTCGATTGAATATTTTCTCATACAAATTTATATATCAAATATGTTGAATTTGTATGAATGAATATTGATATGAAACATATATATGCATAATAGATAAATGTTTAATGCTAATAAGTATTAAATCTTAGAATTTGATTAAATTCAATAAAAAATAATTGCTTACCAATTCAAGTAAAAATATGGCATTAACATTTTCACTCTCAGCACAAGTTTGAAGAAATCCTAAATAGCTTTGTTTGTTTTGTCAATACACGTTCCAATCTTCTACATTCATAATTTTTTTTATATTTTTTATGAACATTATGCATAAAGTTTCTTACATCTATATAAAATCAGTACTATTATATGAGATTATCTTGTGGTTAGATAAATAAGAAAAGATTAATTTTAATTAATGAATAATGATATTTTTTTAACAAATAATACTTATATTTGTCTGAAATATCTGATATCTCTGATAGGTGTCGGAGAGGTTGCAAGAGCTTCTAGCAAAATTCCCTCTAAAAGCTCAGGTGGCAGGGAAGAAATGCCAGTCTCTCTTTTTGGTTTCTTCATGATTTCCTTGTTTATCATGTTTTGTTTCTTTAGACACCAAGAAGAGAGTCTGATATTTCTTCCCTGCCACTTGAGCTTTTAGAGAGAATTTTGCTAGAAGCTCTTGCAAACTCTCCGACTCCTATCAAAGATATCAGATATTTAAGACAAACGTAAGTATTATTTGTTAAAAAAATATCATTATTCATTAATTAAAATTAATTTTTATTTATTTATCTAACTACAAGATAATCTCATATAATAGTACTAATTTTGTACAGATGTAAGAAATTTTATGCATCATATTCATTAAAAAGAATAGAAAAATTTATGAATGTACAAGAGTAGAGCGTGTATTGGCAATACAAGCAAAACTATTTATGATTTCTTCAAATTTGTGCTGAGAGTGAAAATGTTAATGCCCTCTTTTTGCTTGTATTAGTAAGAACTTATTTTTTCTTGAATTTAATCAACTTCTAATATTCATTACTTATTAGCATTGAACATCTATCTGTTATGCATATATATGTTTCATATCAGTATTCATTCATACAAATTCAACATGTTTGATATATAAATTTGTAGGAGGAAATGTTCAATCGAAGAAAATATGATGTTGGTTTGCATCATTTTCGATTGGCATCAAGTCAAGGACATTATCTTTCTAAATATATTATGGGACTATGGTGGTTTCGAGATAATTCATCTCGCTCGCATGGTGTCTATCTTTTGAAAGTATTTTATTTTGCAACCATAGCAAATGACTTTATATCTATAATTCTTAGCAACATGCCACTTTTTGAACATTTGAAATATTTAAGAACAAATCTACTTCTTTATGAATCTCTAGATTTAGTGATGAATGAATTGAAAAGCTTAGACTATGAGAGCGAAGTGCCAACCTCCCTTCAACTCATCATTTTTTAAAATAATTTTAAAAGAGTTTTATCTACTTTGACCATTCAAAATATTATAATAATTTTTTAAAGAAAATTATGCACATATTCTCCTAGGTCTCTCATAAATTTATGACATGAAAGTAATTCATTATAGGTAAGATATAATTATGTTTTTAAGATTAATGGAACCATTATTCATTTGTTTTATGCTTAGAAAATCACACAAGTATATATTTGATATAAAGATTAGCCTTAGTAAAAAACTCTAAGCATAAACTGTAATTTTGTACCTAGAAATCACACAAGCATAAATTTGATATAAAAATTGCCCTAGTAAAAAACCCTAAGCGTAAACCACAATTTATAACTGACTATTCAGCTGACTACTAAGAATCAGCCAGTATCTTTAAATTCGAAAAGATCTTCAAAGGTCATGGTTATTACTACTTATTAATCCGCCAAACTATGGTTTGGATCAAGGTCTCCATTGCTTCAACCATACCATAGTTTATTATTTTGTGGTTATTGAGTCTTTCATAATATATATATATATATATTGGTCACTCGTGAAATTTCTCTTTTTATTTTTTGAAATCATAAACCAATTATGGTTACTAATTTTTGTAGAATTTCAGCACGTGATGAACTATTTGATGAATATCCTTCCACTATGAATATTCAGCACACCATCAATTTCATACCAGGTTCACATTCACCAAATTTACCACCCCATTGGATGACCCAACCATAGCAAGCTGAGCTCAAATGTTGGATTGATATGCTAATAAAAAAAGCATTTCTATGAGAAAGTTTAAGTCCATGAATTGTTCCCACACTATTGACATCAAAGAAAGATGAATATTGGCATTAGTGTGCTAATAGTCATATAATTAATAAAATTATTATAAAGTATAGATTCCATATACTTTGAATTGATGACATGCTTGACATTATATATG